ATTTTTTAATATCAAGCTATAATTGTAAAAACAATAATGCTGTAAGAGATTATGAATGACACATAATTTTTTTTCAGTGCGTAATTCGGAGTCTGGTGAAAAAAAGGTTTTATGTATATAGACACCAATAGGCATTTCACTGGGAGGGTCACATACGCAAAATTTACAACTGAACATTGAGTATTTAATCAGTTTATACATGTATATAGTATTGGTGTAGCGAGTTTCAATTTCAACTAAATGTCAATGATTGCGATTTTTAACTTATCTTTTATTAATCCGTAATAATTTAAATAGTCCGTAAAATTCCGAGTAGAAAATCCAGATCGAGGCCAAAGCGTGCGAGAATCGTGTACAAAGCGTGTGAGAAACGTGCATTCCGTGTAGGCTTTCGTGTAAACCGTGCAGCCGTGCAGCCTTTCGCACAAAGCGTTCCGTGTAAACCGTGTAGCGTTTCGTGTAAACCGTGCAGCGTTTCGTGCAAACCGTGCAGCGTGCGTGTGGGGTAGTAGCACATTTCAGGGGCTGTATGTTTTTGTAAAAAAAATTCTTTTTTAACCCCCAGTCGTCCCCCAGAGTGAGAAATCAAAATTCAGAAACCTTATTACACACCTACAAGACACTTTTAAACATATTCTAAAATATGAATAGGCTACTGAGAAAAAATTAAGAGTTCATGCACCCAGCTTTTTTTTGTAGAAAAACGACACTTTTTGACCTCTCCCCCCCCCCCCCTCCCCCCGGGGCGAAAATCAAAATTCCGAAACCTTATTGCACATCTACAGGATACCATCAACCATATTCCAAAAGATGATTTGGTTACTACAAAAAATGTAAGAATATTCAGGGAACCAGGTTTTTTTGTAGATTTTTTTTCACTTCCAATCGACCCCAAGGTGAAAATCGAAACTACGAAACCTTATTGCACATCAACAGGATACTCCGAATCACATTCCAAAATGTGAATGGGCTACTGCGAAAAATAAAAGAGGCGTTTAGGGTAGGAGATTTTCAAAAAAAGAAATGACGTTTCATGGGCGTTAGAAACAATTTGAAAGTGGGGGATAAACCAACAAAAAAAGGTAAGCCCCAATTTTCAATGCCTATATTATGTCTATCTTAGCAAAAGAAAGTGGGGGGAGCGACGCCTATGCGTTTTTGACCCCCGATCGCTCCTAGGATGAAAACTAAAATTCCAAAACCTTATTGCACAATTACAAGACACTATCATAAATGGGTCAACCTTATTGTGGACTCCAGCTTAAATAACCCTCCTATACCTCAACCACTGAAGTTTGAGGATGGCAGAGTCACGAATGACAGTGGGCCGATCAGGCGTTTTGTTCGCTTAACAATATCTTTGGATATTTGGCTAAGCAAGTGAGAGTACACACCAAGCGTAATAACTCTTACAATCCTTGATCGAGCTTGGCCGGAGTGACCCAAGTCAACTTTCTATTTATACGAAACATGACTCTGGGATATTACAGTTCCACCTTCAATAAATATGACCGTTCACGGTAGCTCAGTCGGTAGAGCGCTCTCTTCGTGATCGGGAGGTCTTGAGTTCGAATCTCGGCCACGACTGACCTAAGTCGATAAAAATGGGTAGCAACTGTTCCTTCGCCATGCGCTCGACACTTTGAAGTGAAAATTGCGGGTCCTTCGGATGAGACCTTAAAAACGGAGGCCCCGTACGCGTGTCACGGCAGGCGTTGGCACGATAGAGATCCTTCACTGCTCAATGGCCCTGAGTGCCGAGTAAAGGTCAAAATTTGAAGCCCTTCATCGGTATATGGTGACGTCTCTATATGAGTGAAAAATTCTCAAATGGGACGTAACGTAAAACAACATACAATCAATCAATCAATCAATAAATACGAGGATCTTCCCTAAACCAGAGCGACTCGCAGGTGTTGGGGAGTGGCGAGGTTACCAAACCTGTATAAAATGCAACCAGTGACAGACACAATTCAGCTTAAAAGCTTACCACTCTTTATTGAATTAAGCAATCCATTTTTAATATTTGAATTTACAATAAATAATGTCACACAATGTATTAACATTAAAATAAGCCTTCATCACAACCAAATATATCTTTTGACAAACAATTTAACAACCGCATTCCAGTGAATCGTTTTCTTGGAACCGTCCAGGTGAAAAGGTCAACAGCTAGTAGCCAGCATCTATGTTTATTTTCATCTCCAGAGCTCGCATCTTTTATCTCTCTCAGCCAAATACACAAAAATGTGTTACACTCCTATTTTTATGCAATTTTTTTTATGATATCACCAATTATATTAAAAAAAAGATGAATTTGTTACTGCAGAAAATGTAAGAGGAGTTCGGGGAACTAGGTTTTTTTTAGTAGAAAAACGAGAATTTTTAACCTCTAATCATCTCTAGTGTGCAAATAGATATTCCGAACCTTATTGGACTTTTACGAGAAGAGCTGACTTTTACAATCGACGACTTACTTTGACATTTAAACATATGTTATGTACGGAGGTACGGAATTGATATTAGATTAGAAAACCTTGCTTGTGGTCATAGGTATGGTGTTAGGGGCACTTACATGATTTACTGGTATTCAATCAATACAAGAGATGATGGGAGGTAGAATAACATGACTTAAAATACCTTATTTGTAAGGGACAGTATTTCCTTTCAATCTCATTTTATGAAAGAATCAAATAAGGAAGAAAAAAACATTCTGGAAGGAAAACTTGGCAGGGGTTGGTCAAGGTGGGAAGGGAGGGGTTTAGTATAGAGTGTTTTACGTTCCCCTCCCTAGACAACGTAGTATGTGCGTTGAAATGCCCAATTATTATCTTTGCATTAACTGTTAAGCTAAATATTTATATCGTATAAGAGCTGTCGTATGTTGTGCCAATGTAAAAGTAAGTCGTCGATTGTAAAAGTCAGAGCTTCTCGCAAAAGTCCAATATTATAAATCATATGACACCACCAATCATGTTCCAAAAAAAAAAAAATGAATTGGTCACTACAAAATGTGTAAAAGTTCAGAGAATCATGTTTTTGCAGAAAAACATCGTTTTTGACCCCCAATTTCCCCCAGGGTAAAACATCGAAATTCCGAAACCTTTTCACATCTACAGGACACTCCAAATAATATTCCAAAATTTTGAATAGGCTACAGCGAAAAATGTAAGAGGAGCTTAGGGGACCAGGTTTTTGTACAAACTTCTTTATTACCCCATTTGGCTCCCTGGGTGAAAATGAAAATTTTAAAATCTTTTTTGCACATGTTAAAGGCACCACCATTCATATTCCAACAGATGAGTTGGCTACTGTTTTAAATGTAGGAGTAGTTTGAGGAAAGGAAAGTGACAGATAGACGAACGGAACAGGATAACAACAATATACCCGAATTTTCTTTAGAAAGTACATTTATAATAATCTTAACTCAGTGAACTACAATCATCAGTTTGGTTTTGATAGGGTATGTTTAAAGAAGAGTACAGACTTAGTCTAGCATTTCAGGATTGGTTTTTCACCTCTCAAAACGTTTTACGTTTTAATTGAAAGTACTTCGTAGGAAAGAAATAAAGAAATACAAATGATTTTCCGTATCATTTTATTGTTTCAAAGACAAAACTTTTTCAACGACTTTTGTTATAATATTTATTTTCAAGTTCGTTAATTTTATCTACTTAAGGTTCATGATTTTTTTTTATTTCCAACTCGGTCCTGTACTATTTTCGTCCATAAAAGACCTTTTGTATATGGATATTTTTCAAGAGAATGACAATGATGGCAAACTAACAACTAAATTTTATGATAAACGTGATGACCTCAACTTTTTATATTGTCATTTTCCCTTATTTAGCAATACACCATTGTCACCTGCATTTTTAGCTTAATTCTCCCAGTAGATTAGATATGCAAGAGCATGTATTACGTACGAACAATTTCCCAAACAAGGCAAGCTATTGACAAATAAGTTAATGAAACAAGAATATCAGCAGTCTCCTTTAAAGTCAACATTTCGCAAATTCTATGTTCAATTTAATGATTTTGTCAGCAAATATATCCTATCATTGGGTTGCATTTTGACTGAGATATTTCATACAAATTGCTGGGCCTTTGTTTTTATGCTAAATTTGAATACGGATTACTGTCCACCTGATCTATACATAGGGCTCACGGCGGATGTGACCGTTTGACAGGGGATGGCTACTCCTTCTAGGTTCCTGATCCCACCTCTCGAATTTCCGTGGAACCGTGTTTTATGACCTGTTCACAGATTTGTAACGTTTGTAAGTTTTCTTTAGATCGATCGCCGTTTTCTTCACCTTTTTTTTCATTCGGATTAAGGATTTAAATCAAAATAGGATCCTTGGAAATAACTAATATAAAATATAGAATATTGTTGAAATTAAGTATACTATAGCCTCTATTACAAAAAAATAGTGTCCTATAAAGGTTTGCACTTATTACACATACGCCTTTAATTCTCAAAAAATCACCTGTGGTTGTAGATATGTGTCTTCGCATAAATTCATTTGAAATACAATCCGTATACTTCCTAATGGAGTTAATTCCCCATGGAATTGTATAGAGAATAGAAAATACTTAGTAATTAAATTGTTCCAGTGTATTGCTTTACAAATGAATATATATAACACCTATAAAATTACAAATGAATGCAAGAGTGAGAAATAAGACTGGTTTATTATTGTTTATATCTGATTTACACGGGGTTATATAAATTATGCAAATCAATACATTGCCAAATTCTATTTCAATGTCAACGTAGAATGAAGCCATCAATATTGAAGCCCTTGAAGATCGAAAGCATTTTTGTTACTTGCTATTAAAACAACTCAAATAACTGTAACTTTTACTGCCAAAAAGAGCCCACTTACAATTTCCTCCATTATATAAATTTTCATTATCAACAAAAATGTCTCCTGTGGTGATTTAAATTCTCTCTACGATTTATTAACGTTTTTTAAAGATTTACAAACGCTCTTCAATCAATCTATACAAAGTCCGCAGCAGAGTACATAATAGCACATGTGTTCTCGCACTTCCTGTAACGTGATTGGTTCCTCTGTCTCACAACCGGAAGTCGACATCGTCCAACCAGAGGAAAAGCTGTAGTTGTCAGGGAATGTAACAGTTCTATCGTGCCTAAAAATACAGGATTTTTTTTTTCTTCTTCAAATTTTCATACATTCAATATACAAATTTTATTATACATCTGTATTCACCATATTTTAAAAAAGGCGATGGACATATAATGCATTTTATCCTTGGAATAGCAAATCAACTTTTTGCTCATCTAAATAGACAGACACCCTTTTCTTATACTTAAATTTGTCAAATTCATTCAAAATTCTTATACAATTAAAATAAAAATTATTAGTATCGTTGGAACGTCCACAGAATAACAATATATAAGCAATAACATTACCATATTGGAATAGCGACAGGTTGTGTGTTGCAAACGTTACTTTCCATAGTATCATTTTCAATGGCCGTCACTTGACTTACATCTTCCTCCATTTCCCCAGTTATTTCTGTCTTTTTATCTGTGAATGATATCCTTCCTGTGTAGATATCGGCCAAAGGTATCCCAGTTCTATCGGACGCATGCAGAGCCCTTAGCTTGGCTTGTTCACACAGTTGTATCCTCTTTGCATTTATGGGATCTTTTGTTATAGATATCCTGTTCTTCGGCACCAAAATATCATCGTGTTTGATTATCTCTATTTTACATATATCTTTTCCCCCATCAGATTCGGATTCTTTGAACCTTTGTTGAGGTTCACATTTAGTTTTGAATACTGGAGCAGAAACTTTTGGAGGTGACAGTTTTGGAGGAAAGCCAGAAGCGGTCCTGCAAATGTCTTGCAAGGAAGTATTATGCAGAGTAAACGGGTCATTTGGTTGAAAGGATGACTGCTTATAAGCATCAATTAAACTCTGGCTCCGATTCCTGTCAATCTTATCATCCTTTGTTGAACATTTTTCTTCCTTCTTCTCGATTTTCAAAACAGGCTGGGGTTGACGAAGAATAAATTGATTATTAAGTAAGTGAGTATCTTGAGAAGACAGAATTTCGTTTTTCTGTTTCTTTTTCTCCTTCCGCTTCCGGTTTCGTGGAGCATTAAGAGCATCTGTGTTCTTTTGTTTTACTTCACCAGTATTGTTCTCAAATATGTTCATGATATTTTCAGGTCTGTAAGATGTGTTGGGGTGCAGCCATGTGCCGTTCCTGTCCAGGTTACCATAGTAATTTATATGAAACAGTGGTCGCGGTAAAAACATTGCCGTTAAGAGATTTTACTTATTCTGAAAGTAAAATTGTATACTCAAGTATGTGATAACCGTACAGTACTTACTTATTCGTGAGCGGGTAAGGAGAATTCTGAGGGAATTTTTTTTAAGAGAAAAACATTATTTTGACAGACTAAATCGCTTATTAAAATGTAGATAAAATTTTCCAAAAGAATCTTTAAAAGAACCATTCTGCATTTTTACAATAATTATTAAAATACAGTTATTTAATTGATGTAACCCCCAACCGGCAAAATAAATAAATGAATGTAAATAAATAAATAAAAATAAAAAAGATATTAATGGGATAAGGACTTTTATTTAAAATAAATTCAAATGCTTATTAATTTCTAAGCCACGTATATTATATGAAACATATTTCAATGTAATATAATCAATTCATACTTTATTCACTTATTCACTGGTTAAATATTGCATTGCAATTCACGATATAATAAATATTCAAAGATCTAAAAATCCAAAAATATTTACATTCACTTATTCAAAACGTTTTCTCCTTTTGCCATATGAAACCGATTGTTGTAAAGGGTTATTAATCGATAAATAATAAACTTGCTAGATTATATAAAACTGAATTGAAGCCTGCAGAGGTAATTAATACAATGTATGTAACTTCTGATTGTCTTTTTCGATAATTTATCGAGCTCTTCCATCACTTAATTTTCTTTAGACAAAAAAGTTAAGAGTACCGTAATAAATAATTTTCGTTCTATGAAAATTAATATAATTACATAAATATAAAATTTAACAAAAAAACTTACGATACATCTACCAGCAGTCGCTTCTCAATATTCCGTATAATTAGTGACTGTAATTCTATTAATTAGCAATTATCAACGGTCACGGACCATTGATTTTTATTGCTGTTGCAGACACGCACAACATGTTTACAACAAAAAATCAATAAATGCAATAAAGATCAATGGAGGTTATGTAAGAACAACCCTGCATAATGGTTAATAGGTAGAAGTGTTAAAACAGTTGTAAGTCCGAGAACTCATTTCTTTATCAATGACTTGGAATAGGAATACGCACTGAAATACTAAAAATAAGTTATAATGAAATCGGCATCATTTGTACAATTATGATCTTTGTGGTTTAAAAAAAACATAATTAATGCACATTTTATATTTAAAAGAATATGGATTTTTTTAAAAAAATATTAATCTGTTTATTACTGCCGGCAAAGAAATATTATGATGAAAAAATATCAACTGCCTGTACGGTATATTTTATTTACAATTAGTTCATTTATACTAAGTCTTGTAATTCTATTTATCGATGAGTTTTGAGAATTAAACAGGAGAAAGAGCAGTTCTTGAATTTAAACTGCAAAATAAATCCATTCGAGCTCATCGATTGAACAAACTTTTTTTATATACTGTACGACATAAACCCACTACTGTGAGATATTGGAATGCTTATCCGTAAGTAAACACGCGCAGCAGGCATTTTACACGTGCGACAAGTGATCAACTGTCGAACTGCCGATCCATTATTAATCCCTGGGAGGGGATAATTAAGCATTGATGTCGCTTCTATTGGTAACGGTCGATTTAAACAGACATTAAGGTCTAAAATAAAAAAAAATCGGTGGATTTATTTGTCTAAGGGCATAAGAATTTCAAGTAAAATATGCATATACACAACATTTAAACATGAAGTGCACTTAAGATTGTACTCTTTTTTTTATTTTATCTATAAATGGTGTTTGGTAGACATGAAATACACTTTACAATGGAGTTAGATGGGTAAACTTAAGGTTTGTACATACTGTAGTGAAAGTCTAATGTAGTCTTCTCTTCCCTATTTCACTATTTTTTTTCTCTCATGCGCTTGTACACTCTTACGTAAGATCATTTTCATAAGTACATGTATATATCTATGCATTTAATATTACTCCTTTTTTATTTAATAAAAGTCAGCGACAATTGCAAGGTATTGATTTAGTAACAATGTTATTGGAAAAAAGTTTAATTATTCCCTTGGGTGTTCTTGAGCTGTCATCGATACGCATTTTAATTACAGGAACTCAAAAGAAACAATTCCTCATTATTGATTAGAAACCTGAGATTTTTAAATGTATTAAGTTTTTTCCGGGTGTCTGTAGAAATTTTCCCGTCAGCACTGCCATTTAAATGCTCTCCATGCAGATTTTTAAATACCCCATGAGATATCGATATTGGACTAAAAAGCTAAACCCGGCTTTTCAATTAACGCTATAGAGAGGCGTCAGTTGAGAGACTCCGGGTATTTAAATAACCCGTAAATGAAATATAAATTGATGAAAAAAGAATCGCTCTGATTTGGCAATTCTTTAAATCGCGCATGACAGATATACATTTAAAGAACACAAATTACTTAGCAACTGGGTACTTCCGTTCATGGCTGAAATTTAGTGCCGAAAAGATTATAATCCTAATGGAGAGATTTACTTAAGAAATATTTGACATTTGCTCAGGGAATACACGCGGGTATATATGTGAGGTAAGTATTATGTTTATTTATCAACGGTCTTTTGTGAGTTTACCCTGTCAACCACTACTGTTAAAAACTTTGACTTCCGAACAAACATTTTCCACACGAATTGACACAACAAAGTGCTTAATCGCTTTACACGAGGTAAACAAAGTCTCAAAGATTTAATGTTTCGTCTTCTTTGAGCGTGAACCGTTATTGGAATTAACAGATACATGTTGTTCTGTAAACTGCTATAATTAAGTATTTTTTTTTTATTTTTGAAAATGAGAATATTAAAGAGAATTGAAAAAATTGATATGTCCATGTTGAAAACAGCCTTTGATGGTAAGCACGCTCTAGAGACTGACGAATCTTGTATGTGAACATTCTATGTAAGACTGATATTTCACGATTCCTTGGAATAATTCTTTGACATATTAATTTCATTTCGTTTGATTAGATTCGGGATCTTGCCCCCCAGAAAGCCAGTAGGATGAGCGACATTGATATGATGTCGCGTAGTGACGGGCGGATGGCGAGCGCCGCTAGCTCCTTCACCTACGTCCCATTTGGATTCACATCCAAGACACAGTATGATGCCAATGAGTCCCTCATCCAGATTCGAAGTGAGAATTTCTCAAAGGTCGAGCCCGAGAAGGACAATGACATTTGGAAACGCCCACCTCCAGACTTTCGGCCCCAGGTTTTTGCACCAAAACCACCTAAAAGAAACTCTAGAGAAGCCATGAGACCTGAAAATTATGGAACATTTCCTGGGAAGCATAAAACTGTGAAGAGACCCGAAAGGAATGTTATACCTCATATGCTTCGTCCGGCAAAACCCGAGGAGGGTAGGATGATTCTCCGGTACCATATAGATCGACCATTTACTGCAAAGAAAAAATTCGTCACGGAGGGAATGTACAAAGCTGGAAAATACTCAAATCCCAAGCCTCATGATTTTAGAGGAGTGAGTGCTTGTATTTTACTTTTTTTTTAAGTTTCTACAGTGAAAACCTTTTTTTCTTTTTTGTTTAGAGGGGGTTGGGTTGTATACGGTTCCGTCGTACATGTAATTATCATCAACGGTCATACTAAAAGGAAAAAAGTTTACCGAAGACACTAATCTAGCTAGCGCAAAAGGACATTATTATCTTAAAATTCGATTGAATATAGTATACAAGAAATATGAAAATAATGAATTGAATAAACAAAAATCTTCCAAAGATTTGCAAGCTTATATAAAAACTCTATTTTTCAATTGTTTAACTGTCTTTTTATTCTTTTAGTATCCTCCAATCAAAAAGCTAGGACTTGATGAGTTTATGACAGACTATGAGAAGGACCCATTTAATATTCACTTCCACACGGGCAGATTAAATACAAGTTTGTATTTTACTTTCGTTTATTTTTGCAAATAGTATATACCTTTCCATGCATTTTATAATTCCTTATGCAAAATAGGCATTCAATAATATTGTGAATTCTCCAACATATATTCTATTGGTTGCTACGTTCTTTTTTCACGTGAAATAATTATAATAATAAATCGTATTTTCGCACAGTTCATGGAGTTCCTATGGATAAAGCTGCTGACAGAGACATTCGTGGAAGGCAGATGGCGCCACCTAAAACCCCGGATAAAAAGTATGATGCTGATTGGATATTACCGAAGGGACCTTGGCCCACAAAACCAGGCGAACTAAATGTGAGTTTTTATGGTTTTCTAATTATTCACAATCGCAAACATGTTTCTCATTTTTCTGTTTTTTTTTTAAATGGAGCTCATCAACCCCAATCAAAGATCTGAAATAACCAAACATGCTTCTGTGAAATGTACACTTTTGAAAAAAAATATTTTGCTACTAAACAAAAGCTCAAGCAAAAATATGAATCCGCTAATTTTATTAAGGTATTTATATTCATGATTTATAATTTACTTCTTAGTTCTAAGTTGCTCCCCATTTTGACCTTATAACAGCCTTAATGTAAATAAGCATGTTATGAACTAAGTCCTCAAAGAAATTTACATGTAGTTTGGATTTGAGTACCGTTCTAGTTGGAAGTGCCTTTTACATATCTTTTAATCTAAAAATAAGTTGTTGGCATGTTTTGTATACGGTATGGTTTTTGCTTTTTTTTGACCCCAATATTTCGCGAAAGGGCCGGGAAACTTAATATTAGAAAAGAAAATACTAATCGTGACTGTGAGAACTATTCATTACATCTTGAGTATGCGATTTTATCTTGTAACAATGAAGTCACAAAAGCATGATAGGTTATTTTTTTTTTAGCTGTACATGCACTAAATTACAACAAGATATAACTTTTCATGTTGGATTTTACAACATGATGTACATGTTAAATGATTATGCCCGTTTTCTCTAATAATATTAAAATTTGTTTAGTTCCAACATTACACACTCATGTTCATCTTCATTTGCTACATAATATATCTTAAAATCCAACACGAACAGAAATTATCTTCATTCTGTTTGATGTTAATAATTTCAGAGACATCGATTACGACATCGCCCTGCCCATTCGGCGTTTATGGATCGTGTGGACCGGACATTACATCTTCAATGGGCAAAGGAGAAAATGGACAAAGAAATTGAAAATATTGCCAGCTGATGAAACTGCATTTTAATCAATAATTCGTATATGTGTTTGAAAGTGGAGTTATTTTCCTTGCACGTGCATCTTTTATGTTGAATGTTTACAATCTAATTTCGAAACATTCGAGGATTAACACCCAAATGTATCAGAGGCATTCAGCCAACTGAACTATTCGTATACGGTTGATAATGTCATACCTTTGGGAACATGGATTCTCCAAGGAAAAAAAAAACTCAAAGCGTACATGGGAGCACATAGTTCTTCTCTCTCTGGAATTAACGCCATGATTACAATTTTCAGTTCAACTCTTAGAAGACACATCACTTTTCGAACAATTGCTATGATACAGATGAAGTGAAAAGGCTTTAAATCGGAATCTTTGGCGAACATATGGTCTGTGATATTTATGTCTGTGATAGCTACTTTTTACATGAAATGTGGGTGACGATTTTTGCTATCCTTCCGCTTTCATTTTTGTCGAAATCATAAAGAGGATACCTCGATCTGAAAGAATAAAATTAAAATATCAGGGAAATCGTCAAGTTATTGAATAATAAAAGTATCCCCAAAATATTCTCATCGTTAAGGGCGTTACTCTGTGAAGGCATCAATTATATTCCATTTGGAAAAAAAAATGTATTTTATTAAACGGCTCCATTATTATTAGGTTTTTCCACACTCTAAAATGTATTTCAAGTTGATACCTATGATAAAAATTTAAAGATTTAAGATACATTTTCCTAGAAACACCCTAAAACCTAACATATTTAACATGTATTTACTTTTCATTTGCATACCCCCCCCCCCCCCCAATGCTCAATATCTTTATTTTCCAATGTCATCGGATTTTAAAGTGCATAGCTACAAGATTACAATATGTACATCTTACAGTATTATATATAAAATTTAAGGGTAACACTTATTTACTTTCATCAGATATTCGATGTTGTTATATACATGTATTTTCATGTACAATATCAGGACCGTTTACAACTTTTTAAGTCTCCTCACAATTTAAATGATGTATTACATGCTTTTTTAATAGACACCCCCTCCCTTTCTTCGTAACTGTACAAATTCATCATGCATTCAATGCACCTTGTAACATATGCTTTTGTAAAATTTAGCTTTGTATTTTATTACAGTGAATGTACACTGTATCAGTGAACTTTATGGAAACTAAAAAAAAAAGATAAAGACGATTGAAATAATATTTCCATTATATTATTATTGGGAAGGTCAAATTGATGGAAATGATTCTATAGTAGATGTATTATGAAACTTGCTGTTAGATGTTACCATGCAGATTCTATAATTTCTATAATTTGAATTTAAATGGAAGTTTTCTTAGTGTTGATTATAAACAACTTTTGATTAGACATTATAGCTGTTTCCAGTAGGAGAAAATTTATCAAGGTATGATGTAGCATCATCAATTTTGCCATGATCTGAGGAAGTTAATCTCTTTTTCGGTTTCGGAACGCTGCATCAGCCTACGGCTAAATTGGTGAGATTTCACGTAATTTTAGAACAAATGTAGATTGCACATGCATTAACTATTTTGTATAATCGATTTTCAATTTAGACAAACCCTGCTACGGATGATTCCAAGCTTGAAATCCCATGATTTCAACTTTGTTTTGAAGAATACATGAACTTGATTCGTGTGAAAACTGCGAAAAGAAAGCAAACGTTTCCTTCTTCTTATTGTACATTTGACTTACCGTTCTTTTCTGTTTGATTCAAACCACAGAGATTTATTTTTCTTTGCGAAAAAATTTCCACATATAAACCTAAGAAACTATTAAATTCTTTACCCGCGTTGTGCATTTCCGAGTAACACTTTCATCAAATAGTATTTTTGTGTTTATTTCACAATTGGATACAAGGGGTGAAAATTAATAAGGATGTTTACATTATTCCAATATCTTAAAGGAATGAACAGATCTGTTAATCGTTCTTCTTTTCCTCTCTCTTAAAGGGCTATTCCTGCAATGAATTTTCAAGAAGGCAAAAACTAGCAAGAGTTATGTCGCTTTGCTTGAAGTACATGTTGCATCTCAATTCCTAGGAAAGGTTTTGAAAATTTCTCGAACGTTGAAAACTTGTTAAAAATGCATTTAAACCGCTGGTTTTCTAGAGGTTCGTGTATTAAGGTTTGATTTCCTAAGAAAGCATTTAGTATCTCATTATTATCTCATTAGTATCTTATGTATTTCATTGAATTCATTATCGTTTTCAAAATAATGTACAAGCGATGGTTAGAAAATCAACATTCACGAGTAATTAAATCTTATATAAATATATTTGTTTTAATTAAAATATGAATAAAATATAGATTTTTGACAGAGGAAGTGTCGGATACACGAATGTGGCAAACGTGTAGAATCTGCACCATCTGAAGACAAGTTTTGAGAAAAAAAAATATGTTTAAATGTCCGAAAAAAAATGAATCTAGATTTAATTTTCCTCAATTTTTTCTTTATTCTTTCAATCAAATATAACAGTAAATTACTATGACCAGTTTAAAAATTTCAGATACATGTATATACTACTATTGTAAGCCACCCCTTTCCCAATAATATAATTCGTAAGCTCTTCAAAGTCATTTTGTAATTCAGATGTGTAAATTTCATTGAAACTGAAGAAACTGCATTTTAAAAAAATAGGCTTTTGACTCTCTCTCTCTCTCTCTCTCTCTCTCTCTCTCAGGTGAAAATAGGCTGGAAACGTATAATGAATGTCAAAGGCACGAACCTTTTTTCACATTATTTTTTATTTTGTTTTCGCATTTTCTTTTCTTTAGTTTTTTTGTGTTAAAAATCAATATCGTACATAACCTGAGTATATAAATCATAACATAGTGTAATACACGTAATTTAACATGTTTTTATTGGTATTGTAACAGTGATAGTTTATGGAGAGAAACTAGGAGTTAAAAAGTTTTTCCGGGATCTAAAATTATTTATATTCACCATTGATGTATACCTCACAAGAAAACATTTTTAATACAAAGGAAATCATGCTACATGTACATGTAAATACTCAGTTGTTACATAAAGTATTGTACTACATGGTACTTGAATTTACATTCTAATGACGAAAAGGGAACAAACACCACTACACCTTTCTCTCTCTCTCTTAAAAAATTAAAAATCTTTTAAAATCATGAATAGTCATATAAATATCGGAAGCATCCTAAGGAAGTGTAGATTCAAGTTTTTTTAAATCATACCCCCTCTTCTGTCCCTCCCAGACGGAGGCGATAGAATGGGACTTCCTCGATCTCAGTGATCGATCTAAAAAAAAAAATGCACAAACAATACAAATACCAACAGGGAATAAAACACGGACCCTGGAAATTGCAGAGGTGGGATTAGGTGCCTAGAAGGAGTAAGCATCCCCTGTTGACCGGTCACATCCGCCATGAGCCCTATGTACATGTACTGATCAGGTAGATGGAACATTCCGTAGTCCAATTTAGTATAAAAACAGATGCCTAACAATTGGTATGAAACAGGTCAGCCTAAAGACCTAATAATAGGTTATATTTGTTAACAAGGTCATAAGACCGCGGAACATTAACTGGCAAAATTGGACTTCTGTCGAATTGTAGCCGCCCATTTCATTGTCTATCATTAAATATTTTGACTGTAACAGATGGAAATGACGTAAGCTGCATATTTCCAATTTTGCCAGTTAATCTTCCGCGGTCTTAATAACGACCATAGAATTTATATTTATTTTTTTCAATGCTGAACTGATTTTTGCTTTTTCTAGCCAAAGTGCTTAGGTGAGCGATGTATCCCATGGGATTCGTGATACTGTTATTTCTGTTACCTTGACTCTGAATTCATTTAATGGTCGTGACACATTCTACACAACTTTTTTGTCGAAATCAAAGAACTTATTGCATGCTCTTAAAAATGTAATTTTATGAAAAATATTATTGAACAAAGTTAGGGTAATATTCAAATTTATTCAAATATAGGACCATGCCTTCTTTCAAGGGGAGATAATATAGAGTTAGTGAGAAATAGTGAAAATTTTATGGCATGTTTTAAAAATCTCTTTTCAAGAACCATTGTGCCAGAAGTTATGAAACTTATGTGAAAGCGTCAATAATAGTGTACATCTACAATTGTAAGCTTTCTTCCAGTCATGATCCATAGAGCTGGGGTGGGACCACAATGCATATGGGCGATCCGAGTTTTACATAGAAATATATACGGAAAATCTTTAAAAATCTGCTCAAAAATAGGAAGCACATGATTAGTCATATGGAAGCGTCCTGAACTAGTGTAGATTCGAACCTGTTAAAAATCAGGACCCCTGGGGATACATGTAAGCAGGGCCACAATGGACGATCAAAGTTTTACATATATGTAAGATTATATAGGAAAAATCTTTAAAAATCTTCTCAACAGCAAAGCCATGATCAGTCATATTTATATGGAAGCATCGTCAGGTAGTGTAGATTCAAGTTTGTTCAAATCATAACACCTGTGGTATGGGGGATCAATTTTACATCTGAGGGAAATCATTGAAATTCTTCTTCACAAGAACAGCAAGACCATGATTATTCATATTTATGTGGAAGCATCCTATAATAGTCTGACCCCCGGGGATAGGACGGGACAACAATCGAAGATCAAAAGTTTACGTAGAAATATATAGGAAAAAAATCTTTAAAAATCTTTTAATGCCTTGATTAGTCAAAGAAAAATTGAAGCATCTTCAGTAGTGTAGATTCAAGTTTGTTTTTTTTTAAATAATGAACCTATGGGGTGTATTTTGGTACCACTTACATATTAAAACATTTCAATGATGAACTGATTTCTGCTTTTCTGTAGCCAAAGGGCTCAGGTGAGCGATGTGGCCAAGGGCCTCTTGTTAACGCATCTGAGGTGAAAGCTCAACTGAGCTTTTCTGATAATTTGTTTTGGCTATTATTAGCTGTCCGTTCGTCTGTGCATTCTTTACAATTTCTTCTTCAGAAACACCGGACCATGCAATTTCAACAAATTTTGCCACAAAAAAATTTTAGTAAAAGGGATAAAAGTTTGTTCAAATGAAGAACCATATCATTTTTTCATTGAAAACAATTAAAAATTATTGAACATTCAATGTCATTTGCTTTTAGAAAATCTTCTTCTCAAGAACCACTAGGACAAATGAGATGATATATTTATATGAAAGCTTCCTAACAGAGTGTTGAATTTTGAATTAGTTTGTTCAAATTATGACCGATTTGAGTCTTAAACATGTTAAAAACTGGGAAGGTTTTTTTAGGATCAAGGAATTTGTTTATTACAATTATCACAATTGACTTTTGATTATCACAATAAGGCCAGATACACAGAGATAAAATTGTTGCCTCCGAGTTTGCATGGGGCCTCAAAAAGGGATCAAAGTATTTCATGGGAATATAAAGGAAAATGCATTTGGAAGAGGGAAAAGACTAGAAAAAAAAACATTCTCCCGAGTAACAACAGATCCATATTAGTCATACTGATGTCGAAGCATCTCAATGTGTGGATTCAAGTATGAGTGTCTCATAACCTTCTCAGGCTAGGTTGAGGCAGCAATATGGAGCCAAATAAATTTTTGGGGAATAAAGAGGGAAACATCTTTTACGAAATCGTCTTCTGAAGAACAGTAGGAACAAGATGTGTCAGGTGATGGTAGTGGCTTTTTAGTCTTATCTTTTTAAAAATCTTTTTGGTGTGTGAGTGCGTGTGTGTGTGTGTGTGTGGGGGGGGGGGGTTATTGAGCCTTTCCATAAAAAAAAAAATTAAAATATGAACGTATATTTTTAGAAGAGAAAAATAACAATAGAGAAGAATAAATGAGTTCATAAATCAAAGCCAATGCAATCCAGTTTCTCCATTAAATGGGATAAAACAAGTCTCTGAAAAACCATGCCTGTTTTAAAGCTATTCTCTATAAGCTCTTTAAATATTTTGGCACACATGATCATAGATTTTCTTGAAACTTCATACATAAAGGGTCTTCATCCTTCACACTTCATAAATGATTATATGGTCGCAATGGATTAGTGTTTCCATGGTAATAGGCCTAAAGCTGCAAAGGCGAAGAATGTAAATGACCACATATATTGATATGCATAAGATGACAAAAAGAAACTATGGGTATGTGATATAGGTCTGTGACTAGTGTTACATTTGTACAAAATTTTGATATTAAGAAACATACGTATAAATTTTATTTTCTCAATCTAAGGCTTTTATTTGAAAGATTGATTGTATGTTGCTATATAAGTGAATTTTTCACTCATATAGAGACGTCATCATATAGGGTGAAGGGCTTCAAATTTAGACTTTTTACTCGGCTCTCAGGGCCATTGAGCAGTGAGGGTTCTTTATCGTGCCAACGCCTACCTTGTAACTGAACCTTGGTTTCAAGGCCTCATCCGAAGGACCCTCAATTTTCATTTCAAAGTGCCTAGGGCTTGTAGAAGAAATATTTGCTATTTATTTTTTTATCGACTTATGTCTGTTGCGGCCCGGGTTTGAACGCAAAACATTACGACTACGCTCTACCAACTGAGGTAGCGCGACGGTTTATTTGAAAGAGAATGCAGACCATCTGAAGAGGAATAAACATATAAAGAATTTCCTTATTGATATCTTAGTTGCGATAGCAATAAGGCTTTTACGCTTCAGGTTTTGCACAGAAAACTAGAACCATTTTCTCTCAAATTTTAAATAAACTTATCAGAAACTACACGTATATTTATTTGATACGATTAGACATATAACAAAAAAGTTTTTTAAAAAAAGTTCTTTTGGGTATTATCATGGTGTTAATATTTCAGTGCTTCCCAAAAATCATGCAGTTTTGCTATAAGAAACTATAGACAATGATTTTTATCTAAAATATACATCTTTGCGCATTTATCAGATTTTTACTGAAAATTGAATATTTGATTGAATATCACTCAGAATGTGACTTAGTTTCCATGATGACTATGCAGTTAAAGTGGTAACGGTAAAGAATATTTCAGCGTATGTTTAATTACATCTTGTGATCTCTTCTTGCATTTAGATTGAATCGTATTAATAAGTGGAATTGAAAGATTGTTTACCGATTTATAAATAATCATAAAAAATATGGGGAATTTTCTGTAAAAGGTACATATCCAAGGAAACAAATGTGATAATGCCTAACATAATGATTTTTTTTGGTTAATTTTACATCAAATCTACTCTTTATTAAACAATGATAATTTTCAAAGAACCATGGTTCGTTCGTTGATGCTGGCACTCTATTACAATTAAAATTCTCTTTCTATGGTTCTATTTTTATAGCAACAATGTAATTGTTATACGAAATTAACTTTCAATAATTCTTTGCATATTTTTTTTTTTCTATCATTTGTAAATGATTTGTAAATATAATCAACAAAAGAATTGGAGGAAAAGTAATGAAAAGTAATGAAAAGCCACCTGATCTTCTTTTGTTTCCATGGTAATTCAACACAATTTGGTTATATTACTAATACACTTTGTGATGAATATGAAACACACAGTCTCAATCAGCAAGGCTTATAGTTCTACTTTGCAGAAGAATATGTTAGATTTCAAAATTGTCAAAAATTAACATTCCAGCTTCGAAAAATTCATCCATAAGATCTCATATTCTCTCTAATTATATCTTGAATAAAGCCTAAGTTATACCATGTTTTATGAAAATCTGTGATCATGCGCCCACACCCCTTATATAAAAGTGCAAATCCTTACAGTGAATGGCTTGATATTTCAAATAAAAATATAATCGATGTGCCCCAGCGTAAGTTGTAAACCTAATACATGAACAGACTATTTTCCTTGAACCACGAATATCTGACCCCACGAAAATATTTGATTTTACAGTATTGTACGTATGAGGACATTGCAAGATAAGTAACTATGTAGTAATAGATTTCATTTTGTTTCTACAGGATTGCATTTTATTCTTTACGTTTAAGTTAGACGTGAACTACAAGGAAAGTCTTAATCTGATTCAACATTTCAGATACCAGGGGAATTGCCTTTAAAAGTCTCTGTTAATAAACTTAAGACATGTACTGATCACATACAATCAGTAACAACCGCCTAATAAATGTTGAACACAATAACATTCTAACTTTTCACTTGGTCAGCGTACAAATACACGACACCTTAGATTAACTCGGAAGGTCTCGACTGTGTTCACTTTATTCAATAAACAATTCTCTCCTGTCATTTCTGACTGCCTCTGGATTGATCAATAATTCGCGCTCCCCTGATTCAAGTGCCCTCGAGACCAGATTAAACTAATCCTTCCGACACTTGAATTGGCTTTGGCACCTCTTACCATCAATCGCCTGTCTTCGACTGAAGACTTCACAAAGAGTTTGATTGGCAGGGAGAGTAGAGATCTTTTAACGGTACAAAAAACGCGAAACATGTCTGTCAGTTCTCAGATGTGGGAGCTGATTACAACGGCGATAAAGTACCGTCTCTAGCTTTCTTACCCAAAACAGGCAGGAAAATTAAGTTTTTTTAAAAGAACAAATGAACCATGGGAGGTCACATAGTAAGGTTTTATCCCTTAAAAGAATTCAAACAAGACAAATTTGGGCCATATTTAATGATGAATTAATAAATCCACACAACATTTTGCCAATCCAGTTACATCAAAAGATGAAGAAATATTAAATTCGAATGAATATAAGATGCAAGGGCTTAATATTGCACTTTATAGAAAAATAAACGCTTCATAAATAAATATGATACACATTTGCCAGTTACACAGACAAAAAGGCACATACAATGAAATGAAATTTACTTTAAACTTAATTGAAAAATAATATGTGTAAAGCTCTATTTCTTTCAGGTATATTATTTGAGCTTTTTTTTTCATTTGTATAATTTATTCCACTTAAATGTGCAATGTTACATCAATACTGATTTTTTCAGCACTACTGTTTGAATTCCAGGAGTTCTTCCTATTATGACTAAAAAAAATCTTGAGCACAAAGCGGTGTACATTATTTTACAAGCTATCACAAACTGCAAAAATATTTTTTTAAAAAAGCAAAAGACAGTGAAAATGTAACAATATATTACCATCTACAAGTAAATATACACAAGGTTCTACACCTGCCAATTTCTCGCTGCCTTTTTTAATGTCGGATACCTGTTATATTTGAAAAGCTCATCAACTGTCACTTAAGATCTATGGAATATTTCAGTGGTACTTTGGATATTTTAAATCAAATCCCCCTTTTTACAATTAAAATTTTTGTCAAAGGCAAAATAGTTATCTTAACAGTTTTCATGGATATTCTGCTTACAGACCCTAGAATCATGATCAATTATAACTTTACGAACACAGTGTTAAATGAATTCATATAGTAATTATACCATGACTACTGCAAAAAGAGCAGTTATTGCAATTATATATCATGTACATTGAAATAGTAATGAATCTTAAAAAGTAAAGTTATAGCAAGTTAAACAAACAAAAAAAATATACAAAAAAAATTATTCTAAAGATACATTTTCTCGATGTCCATTCAATAAAGATGTTTCTTTCAACTCAATCTCTTCAGTTTCCTGTCCTGTCTCCAGTAAGGAGTTTTTTGATTGGTTATAATCTCTAGTGACGTCATATTCCGATCGTACAGAGAGTGTGTGATGAATGGTGTGATTTAGGCGCTTTGAAGATGAGAGTGATCTGTTTCTTGTTTGATGTCGCCAACTTCTCCGCAGGTTTGATATTACCTGACAATAATTAATTTCTCCTTAATCATTAACTATTCAAGACAACATCAAATCTTATCATTAGTCATTTTAAACCAAATTCTTCTTCTTAATGATATATTTTGTCTAAGAACTTGATATTGTATACATTTATCTGTTGTATATAAGAAATTAAAAACGTTATTTTGTCGAAATAAAGTACTTTACTGTCTTTTACCTCTGTATTTAGGAAACAAAACACCATGGCCACGAAAAAGCCCTTGGAAATTGATACAGGAAGAAATCATTAGTAAGAAATACATATGGAATAGAAAACAAGACATTTGAGCAAACGTATAAACACAAATTCAACTTGTTTGATAATAATATGACTTCATTTATATATATGTCTGCCATATCATTGGGAATTTAGGCAATATATTTCTTGATCAAATCTCCCTCCCCCAAGAAAGAAAAATAATGCAGTTCTTTATGATTTGAATTTAGATTAAAGAGTAAATCTTATGCTCTTCTTTTATTTCATATTTGGCTTCAGTCTTTGGCACCCCCCCCCTTTTTTTTAGCCTTTCAAAGTTTTTTAAAATTAAGGTTTTGGGATTTCCAACGTTTCGGCATGAGCATAACTGAAGAGACATAATTTCTCGTAAGGTGTATCTGGTTCATCAAGATTGGTACCGTATAAGATTGACATAGAGAAAACAATTGAGTCCAATGCTACTTCTGTAATCACAACATACGATAAAAGCAAAATTAACAACTTGAAGATAAACTATTATTACTTGCTGCTTTTTACACCATCTACGGTTCTAACAAACGAATTTAAGTCTGCAAAGAAGCACGTGTTTTGAACCGTGTGTTTAGTAGAAACAACACCTGTATTAAATCGATCGGATTTCGAATATATTGATAGAAAGCCTAGGGGAGACTTATTATAGAGCTTACAGTAAAAATAGGCTTCAGTCTGATATCTTTTAATCTGAACATTCTGCATTTCTGAGCTTTGATAGGTTATCTCGTCTACATATAAGTAATCAATAGGGGCAACTGACACTCAAATTTTACATTTTGTATTGTGTATCAACGCGCATTTTTTAAAAAAATTAAAACGTAGACATATTCTACTAAATTTTAATTCTCATTGAACATGTAACGTTTGTCGATCGTTCACTGACAATAAAACAACTGTCACAATTTGCAAACTCTGACATTTTGTAAAAAAAAAAAACAATATCTATATAAGCTATTTCTTTTCAGTGACATATTCAAGGAATTGTACCCACAAACTACATGTCCATGTATTCCTTCAGACATCTGTATCCTTACTAAAAATTTTGCCCCTTTCAATTCTATATTTTTTTTTACTCAAATGTCGGTATTTAAATTTCGTTTAATTTTCTCGAGCTATAGTCAAATTCGAGGTATGTACATAAAATCAAATTACAAAGTTGACAGTTAAAATCTGTTTGAACCTCGTGAAACGAAATTGCAGGATTGCAATTTGAAAATGCGACATCAAGACTCACTAAAATCATAAAAGGGCACAGTAATAAACTGATGGCTACAATTAAAGGTTTCTTTTACCGATGTATTCATTTAAAGCGACAGTACGGCTGCAAAATGTGTGCTTTTTCATCCAAATTTACGCAATATGTCATTAAGAAATAAGGTATAAAGTTGATGTAAGCAGTTTGAGAAACAGAAATATTCTCTACTCAAACAAAATTAACATAATTAGAATCTGCCGGAAAATCAAGGGTCGTACGAACTGGAGCAATTTTAGATTTGTTTATTTGTACCACGTGAATTCTAAAACGGCACGTGCCTGCACTGTAGAGTTTACAGTTATAACGAATATTAGGTGTAAGCAATTTTCAAAAACACAAATTATCATAACTTTCTGATAAAATAATCTAAAATAATAATCGTAAAGATTTTAGTCTGCATTCAGGCGAATTTAACAGAATTAAAAGTACAAATGTTTACGTTTTGTGTATTGGGGTCCGAGAAAGGAAAAACCAACTAATCATACGTTATCGCGGCAAATGTCAATCAAAATATTTTTCTGCACAGTTAAAAAAAATTAGCATTTCAAATGGCAACAATGTTTATAAGTCAAAGATGTATTTTTTATGTTGAGTTTACACTATTTTTTTTCTTTGAAAGCGACGGAAAAATGAGAAATGATAACAAGTATCAACAAACCTGTCGAATAGAACCTTCGAGAGCCCTGCGTGAGTGTCGCCGAGTTCCCGTTTCTTCCTTTTCCAGCGATTTTATTAATCCCCAAACTAAATTTTGTCAGGAAAGTTGCTTTTTCAAGTTCTATTTTCAGTTTCTTTTTCTTTTTGGTCGACTTTGTCAATGTAGTAGGCCTACCGGGATTCCCTCTCTAACCATGCTGTTTTATTTATGAAAACTACGCATGCGTGCATAGCATGGAATGTGGAACCCCGAACACGTTGCGATGTATATATTTACGTCCCATAAATAACTATTAATTTTAATGAAATAATCCAAATTATTTAATTGTAAAAGTTGTAATTTTCTGAAAGTTTATACATTTATGAGTAGTAAAAAAATTCCAAATCTTGTGGGAAAATTTTATCTAGTCAGTTTTTTGATGAGATGCGCCGTACTGTTACTTTAAGTTGGTCATAAAGATTAGGCGAGGTAGGTGAGGGTTGTGGCTTTTTTGCCTCTTGTTTTTTAAGTATCCTTCTCCTGTTTGCATCTGTGCAGTGTTGAGGTATTTACTTGTTTTACCATTATAAGGTCACTGTTTCTACTGTCCACTAACAATTTGACCTACATACCTGTGTATGGTTCACGATGACGGTGACTCTTTCGTACTCTAGTCCTCCTTCTTCACTGATGGGGACTCGGTATATGGTGACAAATAATTGTATCCCAAATAGAGGAATCAGAATAAATGTGGCTTTTACAGCTTTTCTATAAAGAGAATTATTGACACATGTAATATTTTTGTTAATGGATTTTTTTTCTCAAAAGAACTTGATAGATATTGAACATTCCAAAGAAAACAGAAAATGAAGTGATATATATGTATAGAAATAAGTAAAACATATGGAGGAACAAGAAATACATAGACTGGAACAAATAAAATATTCTTAGAAACAAGGGAAACATCTATATGAACAAGTAATAAATTTACAGGAACAAGTGACACATCTATATGAACAAGTGATAAAGGACAAGATAGGCTAAGACCCCTTTTTGGCCCCTGGTTTGGGGTATCTTTTAGAATGATACAACAGTTTATCAATTAAAAACCTGTTGTCATCCCTGCCACAAAATGAGTATTGTTTCTAAGTTATGGGATACACAGAGGTCACAGGAAGGTCAGAAAATATGTAAATTTCCGAATTTTCTCACTTTTATGCAAATTTTCATCGATTTTACAGCACATTTTGGTTCAGAAAACATAGGGCACAAGCTTGCCTATCTACCAAATTGACATATTTCATACACTAGTGTCAGATGCATCTTATGTATAAAAATCTCAGATAGGCAAGCTTGTGCTCTATGTTTCCCAAAGTGAAATGTATCTCAAATTTGACGAAATTCGGCCAAAATTGAGGAAATTCGGGAAAATGTCTCACTTCTGCACCCTCTTGTGGCCTCCGTGTAAGCTTTGAATCAAAATTAGTGCTGGTTTTAAAACAAGCATCATTTTAAGTTCTTAACTACAAACTATCACAATTTTAACTGTATTCTGATTTTTACATTAATTAAGGGGCCAGATTCGGCCGTTACCATACCTTGTCCTTTACAGGAACAAGTGACACACAGGAACAAGTGACACATCTATGTGAACAAGTAATAAATTTACAGGAACAAGTGACACATCTATGTGAACAAGCATTAAATTTACAGGAACAAGTGACACATCTATGTGAACAAAAGATATAACTTCAGCACCAAGTAAAACATCTATTGTAAAAGTGGTAACTTTGACGATGCCGAAACCTTCACCAAATTGAAAAATTTCTAATAATCGTCAGTTTCCACTCTCAACGTTCACATTCTTGTTAAAGAACACCGTTAAATATCAGTGTATCGTCAAAGTTCCTACTGGCTTTTTTTTTTTTTTATAATATACCGAAATCGTCAAACTTTCAACTCTTCAATATAGCCGATTTTACAGGTAACACATCTACAGCAGGAATAAGTAAAATATCTCTAGGAACAAGTGGAATATATATAGGAAAAAGTGGTATATATGCATCAACATGAACAAGTTAAAATGCTACATTAACACGTTACGCATCTACTTGAAAAAGTTATAATATCAACACGAAGTTTTACTCAATGCAATCTTAAATATTCATTATGTCAATAAATACCACCATAATTCTTGCATAAAATCAACAAACATTGTAACCCTAAGATATTCTCAAAATTACATTTCCTAAAGAACAAAAAACTACACACATATTTTGATTAGTTGAATGAAGTGATTTGCAAATGTACAAATTTGTAAACAATACTTAATTTTTTGCAATAGTCAATGTTAATTTTGTGTACAAATGCACTGATCTTGATAAAACTAACCTGAAATTTCCTGGCTCATTTGGATGCGATTGTAGTTGTGTCAAGAGAATACGCAGAATATTTGTCAGGAAAACCAAATTAAGCTAAAAAAGCAAGAAAACAAGTGGAGTGTACTTATTTCTTATTTTCTTTTAGTTTGTTCCCTTGAATCATAATAATTAATGATAAAATTGTGAATAAAATGTATTTACCACTAGGAAAACGACATTTGGGGCGTCAAATATCCACTCAAAATTATTATATCCATATGCCCAACAACTGTAGCATGAAGGAAAAGACAAAAGGCAGGAATTAAAGATATGTTCGAAGTTTTTGAAATGATAGAGAAAATCATTTAAAGAGCAGTATTATGATTAGTAAAATTAGGAATTTGTAACTGGTTAACGGTACTCGGTCGGGGCGATAGTAATCGGTTGGAAAATCTGTTATCTAATATACGAAAGATAGATATATTTCTTAATTTAAACTTAATTTCCTTGAAATTTTATAAAAAAAAAAAAAAAAAAAAAAAAAAAAAAAAAAAAAAAACAAACTTTGAACCTTCCAATTAATGTTATCATTTCCTCTTTTCTGTATAAGCTAATCTGGAAGTACTAAGGGCTCTCCGGGTGAGATCATGGACGTTATTTGTCAGTTTTGACGTGTTAATTACTGTCTAAACATAATACCAATAACCAGCATGTCCAGTATTACTTTAATGATAGTAATTAAACCATCGTTGAGTATTGTGAACTATTTATAGAGTATATCTTATCCTGTCTATTTTTGCAGTAATCTATCAAAGCATGCCATAAAACAAACATTGTTAATTAAGCAATAGTTCAGAATTTTTGATCTGTTTATGGTGAAAGTACAGAATGAACGTGTGTGGCATTTGGCTGAAAAAAGTTATTGATGTCTCTTAAATCTCTGGCATATATTTTATAGTTTTCTATATTTATCTTGTCTATTGAAATAGAAATAAAATACATGTATATTATTGCATTCTGATAAAAAAATAATCAGAATACAACACATCCTTTTTTGTTTTCTCGTGTATATGAATAATACTTGAAAAAAATATCAAGAAAATGTTTATTTTGATACGGTTAACCGGTTGATCGGGCGGAAATTCCAGCGATTAATCGATTAGAAATTCTGTATTCAATACCCTTCCCAAGTAACAAAAATAACTACATTTTTACCTTTCATCGTTGTAGATGCCACGTAAAACTCCGTATATGGAGGAAGACACGAGGGGTATAGTCCATCCGAGTACATAAATGGGAAGTAATGAGCTGGGAGGGGAAAAAGCATTAGACATCAACCTGTGAAGGTAAAATCCCTCACAGAACATCCAGGTATAACAGCAACATTTAAAGTAAATCTTCATAAAGGACAGTAACTTGCAGCCTACCTGAGGGAAAGAAAAACAATCCATAATTAACGTCTTTCCAAAAGTATGTTTACTAAAGGCATTTGAATGATAGTAAATATAGAAATGAGTTTTATAATAATTTATTGTATTTTTCAATAAATTCTATAATATTTCAGCAAAAACAACCAATGTTGAAAAAATCACTACAGTAGCCACAATTTTTAGTACGAAATCATGAAAACAATTTTTTGAGTGTCATTATTTATAGTCAGTAGCTCTAAATGAATTACCCCGTTTTTAATCAGTGCGGCATCTGCGACTTCTGTACTTGTGACCTTGTCATAAGTTACTAACATATCCCACATGATTTCCATTACTTCTTTAAGCATCAAAGACAGAAATAAATTGATGTGAAGACGTATTCTGTGTTGATTTCGCAGTGTTCTGAAAAAGAATGAAAAAAAAAAAAACAAAACGTTTTGATGCGTTGCATGTCCTCTGGCTGAAAATTGATGTAAGCTTTTCATCTTTTAGATATATTGTCTATTAAAGATAATGAAAATCTTACTTGTATTTTAGGAATATAATGATGGATGGAAGAAGAAACACAATGCTTGTGACACTACATCCAAGGCCAGTAAATATTGTCGTCTCCAATTCCTAAAAAAGATCACTAAATTTCACCCAAAACAGAAAAAAAAAAATCGATTTTAAGATTGCTTCAATTTATGCTGTATTCTGATTGATGTCTAAAAACGCAAATTGCCAGAATTGTTCCTAACTGAATTGAATATGGATGCAAAGTATGTTTAAAATTTCTTTTCAGAAGCTTTCTTTCACAGAAAACGCTCATCAAATTCCAATCTGTTGAGTGTTGATTGTTTGTTATGATGCCTTGTGATCTCCCATAATTTTTTTTTCTCTTGAGTAGACTACATAGCATCTAAGTAAACATTACTTAGTCAATTTACAAAGAACAATGAATCTGACCTCTTTCTTGAGACAAGGACTGTAGTCGGTTTTCTGTATCCATTTACCATTATCGCCACACAGCCTGACTGCCTGACCTATATAACGGTCAATACTGTGTAAATTACTCTATTTTGTTTTTAGTAAGTAATGAAGAAAAATATTTTTGTACTATATTGTGAAGAATATTTTATATATCCATACCATAAACGTTTTAAATCCTATTAAAATGAACTTCATAAGCAATATGACACTGACTCTAATAAATAATATCTGCAGACAAATTGGGATAAAATTCTTTCGGTCATTCAAGATAGCCTATGGCTGAAGAATGATTGATAATGTCAAGTTCTGATATAAAAGTGCACCTTCCTCAATGACAGTATTGATTTTTTGATTACTGTGTGTACATAAGGGATGCTATATGAACTAAAACAAAATGATTCATAAAAATAATTTTGGATTTTTTTAAAGAAAAGTTTTTGCTGCACTGAGTATTGAACTACTTTTTCTTATAATTTCCGTCATCTCAGTCAAAGGAATCATTATTGCATTTTCCTACTGAGTGATTCATCTCTTCGAAAACAAATTGATTTTTTATGCTTTTTCCAACTTAACTTTTACCTTAAACCTTTCAACTTCAATATTTTTTTTTTAAATTTGGATTTTCTAGTCTGTTTCAAAAACAAGAATGCTAAAAAGCTTTTGTATGAAAGCCTGCTTCTGACGTAAGATGATTTTGATATAACGTTGAAGATATCATCTCTCTCTCGTTAGTCATGAATTTTTGCGATATACAAAGTGTAATGTATTAATTTTCGCCATTGAATATTTCATTTGTTTTAACTACGTATAAACTAAGTTATTAAAATGAAGAAAGTTTCTTTTAAGTCAGCTTTATGTGAAAACAGATTGTAAAGAATGGGAATAATACAACCGATTACCGCTTTAATTCCATTTTTCATTCAATTTATTTCAATCATCTTAATTAGCACTTGCATGTATTTGCTCTTTATCGGTATTACGCATTCGTAGTCAAATATAAAGATTTAATGAAGCGAACATGGCTTCGAATTCCCTTTCGCTAAAACGTTTATTTAATGAAAAAAAGGAAGTGGGAACGCTACAGTATTTAACAAAGATTATATTATTTTTCAGGGGGATAATGTATACGTAAAACACCAATGATATAAACACTCTTGATATTTGTAGCATTTTGGACACATATGATAAGAATTTAGTATTTAAGTAAGATGTAAAGTAGTCCACTTAAAAGACACTGTAAATATATTTTAAATACGAGTATATACATGTAGTGTAAGAATATAAAGTTGTTGTGCTACGTACATATACAATATATAGGAATTGATATCATGATTAGTTAGAATAAGGCATATTTAGCCTCTGCAAATTGCTTTGACTAACGACGGTGCCCGTCGGACCAAATTCCGATTGTTTTAATACTGTATACAGGGAATTTTTCACCCTGTTTTATTTTGGCACTAGACCCGAGAAGGCAAATTTAATACGGAGAGAATTCAAAGAAATAAGTATAGTTTCTTAAATAAAACTGTGACCAGGCGAAATTAAAACGGGACAAACTCGTTTGCAACTAAGAAAGGGCGAAAACAACACAGGGTGAAAATAACCCTGTATACAGTAATATAGTATGGACGGTAATATATAAACGAAGTTCGCAATGTTCCTAGCTGAACCTGAATTTACAAAACAACTTTCGACTAAGATCAATATACACCTGTACAAATTAATTTCTTCTTAAAAATTGGACTGAAAATGGTTTGTTATAGAGATTTATTAGACTTTGAAAAAAATACTCATAATGATCAGTTTTTCATATAAAAAAAAAAAAAAATAGATAGGCAAGGTGTTAGTAAAAGCTTAAGTTATTTGGTCTTAGGTGTAAGTTCATTTGTAAAACAGGGTCCCGCCCGTCACTACTTCTAAATATACAAATAAATAAAGAAAACTAATAAAAATGTAGGGTAAAAATATGATGATCATATGCTAATTTCTCTACGAGTCACGTCGCTGCTATAAAGGACACCAATTTCAGATTCAGAGGAAATTCCATTTGCTGCATAATTTTTAACTGTCTTTTTTCGCATATTATTGATTTTAAGTGGGAAGTATATTAGAATAATAACGAGAGCTATACTATTATCACATCTTGGACATTAAAATTGGTTTGAGTTAAAACGTTTCTGATTTTTTTTCTTTTTTTTTTTTTTGCGTTTATTGAAAGATAATTTTGACATAGTGGTAGGGTCTATTGATTGAAAGAGTGTCATTCTTTCTGTTTGTCTCCATATGTCTGAAATGATCATTATTTTTTAAATAATTAATTATATATAAATTAGCATCATTGTTTGTATTTCATTAGACTTGATATATAATAGATATACTAATAAAACAAATTAGTCTAAATGAGCTTAAAATGTGTAAAAATAGTTTGGAAATTGGAGAGCATGTGAGTATTTTTTTCGCTCAAAAACTCATAAAAGTATGTACATGTATTACTCACGTGATGGCATAAAGTATGGTACGAAGAGAGGACAGGAACTATACTGGAGTGTTCCTCGATCAGCTTCGTCCCAACACAGCCATCCGTCCCATATCCTACCACAGGTTTCATTTGTTTTCACCGGAAGTGCCAACTGACGTTCGCAACAATTGTCTGCGGCTTCACAGCATAATATCCATCGCTGGCATTCGTCACGTGACAGAAATGAGCACACATTTGATTTCACAGTTTCATTTTCATAATCCCATGTATCAAGTTGTCTTATCTGTCTTTTGTATATGAAGTCTACGACTGGTTGGCTTTCGGAAGAATTTGAATAAGTTTTTGGATTTAATTGGTAAAAAAGGAAAGTAAAACATGACGCATATGCATGAAAGCGAAAGTGGTCAACTGTATCGTGTACCCCTCGGTAAGATCTGCACGCTACGTTCTGTTGATTTTTTTCAGCAGAGCTTTGTGATAAAATCTACAATTATAACATAGGCATAGAGTCAACAATTAAAGGGGATACATTGTAGAATGTAGCATGCAGGTGGATTAATAAAGAAGACATATACCCCATAGGCGCTCCCCATCTAAACAGTTGAATAAAAAGTGGATCCATACACTATAAAATGTATTTTTAAATTTTAATTTGGGGAGCGGCTATGGAATGCACTACAAAGGTAAATTAGTACAGTGTACTAAGAATTTTTACGAAAGTAATTCTATCAATATTTTCAATCAAAACTGAATTATACATTTCTATGCCACACATTACCAAATTGAAAATCAATCTTAGAATGAAAAATTCATAGTGCTTTAAATTGATCAAGCAAACGACAAGCCAGAATTACTCCCACTGCTTCAAAATTACTTGTCGACAATGCATTTTGTTGTATACTTTTACAATATTTGATGCCTTGATATTGGAGGTACTCCATGTGGACTAGAACCTTCTGCAAATAACTTATAATTTAGTCTACAATAACATGTTTACAGGGAACACACGATCCAAAGATCTATGCTTACACTAAGTAATTTTATTCCTTGTGGTTTAAAACTGTCGAGAACTTCCGATATAACGAGTTACGTTTATAACAAATCAAAATTGTTCCTTCCTGACACTTTTTATAGTAATATTTTACCATTACATGTATGCATGAAACAAGCACTTTGACTATTTTAATTATTTTCTGATTTTACACCATATCAAGTCAATATGCCTTCATTTACGTACCAGTAATAACATGGTTGTGTTTAGACAATGATTTCGTAAAATCTGCATTATACGTTTCAAAATTTGCATTAAATGCACTGCGCGTTTTACAAATAGGATAATATTATACAGCACTCATTCCTGCGCATGCTAAAAATGAAATCTACCTCAAAAGAGTGCATTAAATATGATCGGCCCCTACACAGGTGTGAATAATTAAAGTTCATTTGTTACGACAGAGTCTGATCATTATCATCGTTTGAAATAGTTGGACCTCTCGAAATCCGATATCTCGAATACCACGAATATGCCGAAGTGCTTTGAAAGTCCCAACCACTATTTTCTTATCGTATTTTGACCTCAATATCTCTCGGTCCCTCTGAGTTCGAGATAATGAAGTTTTACTGTAGTTATAACTAAGTTTAAATTAAGATTAAAATTTTTTATCACCCATTGTCAGTCGTCTGTCCCTTTGTCCATCTATTCGTCCGTGTGTAAACTTTTCACAGTGTATATTTTAATTGCTCAAATCGAGGCCCCGGGGTAGTGAGAGTACACAATAGGAAACCAAAGTTTTTACATTTAAACTTACAGGAAACAACTTTAAAAATCCTCATGAATCACTGGACCAGATCTAGAAAAGCTCAAATTTATGTGGAGGCTTCTTGAGGTATTCTACATTGTAAATTGTTCAGTTCAAGGTCCCAAGGTGTATAAGGTCGGGACCATAATAAGGAATCAAAGTTTTACATTGAAATATATATAAAAAATCTTCTTCTTTAGAACCATTGGACAAAAAAAGATGAAACTTAGGCGAAAGCTTATTAACATATTTGTAGATTGTAAAAAGTTCAGATCATGTTTCCCTGGGGTAGGGTTATGGCCACAGCAGAGATTAAATAGGAAAAATCTGGATAACTTTTCTTCTCAAGAACAACAAAAGCATGATGTATCCTATTAATGTGGAAGCATCCTCCGGTAGTTCAATTTTGTTCAAATCATGGTACCTATATATAGGGTTAGGCAACAAAAGGTGATCATCATTTTACATAGGAATACATGTATATTTAAAAAAAAAGATATGATGCAGAACAGCAAGGCCAAAGTGACTCAGGTGAGCGATGTGGCCAATGGGCATCTTGTTTTAAGATTATGAGAGTATATAAATGTATATACTTTGAACTTCATGGTTACAGACATTAACGGGGAAGCTAGACAGTTTAATTTAATTTATATTTCAAAGTATTATTTTTTCTTTTGCCAGTTTATACAGTTATTAATCATCATAATACACATGAATGTCAAAAAAGAATTTTTTTGCCAGGTTTATGATTTTTTTCTCTCCTTAAGTAAATTTAGATGTCTTATACATGTAATTATGTAAATGATTATATCGCCAAGGTTTGGAAGTCTTCCATTATTTGGCGGTTATTTCTCAGCCAACATTTTCCAAAAAGCAAATTAAAAAGGACATAAACCTTTTATGAAACTGAAAAAAAAAAGATGTTTAAAACAATTTTTAAAGTATATAATTCTAACACTACCTAAAACATAGGGAAGATAAAGCATATAGAAAATATATAACAATAATAGGCAAAGGTAGTATCTAACATAATTCAAAAGAGAGAGTTCCGGACCACAAAAAAGTAATTAAATACTTCAAAGCTCAATCTTTGTATTCAACATATGTCTTAAAGCTGTAATAAACTCCGGTTTCTAAGGTGGATTTATACACGATTTATGTTTTTCGATTAGCATGCTGTAATACCACTGACATGCTAATCAATTTCAATTTAACTCTTTCGAATGTAACATTTGCCTTTGACAGGGAAATTAATCAATTTGTTTGCGGTTGTTACAGTACTAGGCTGAATAAGATGGCTTAAAGCTGAATCGTTGTGCTTCTAGCTGGAACTCAGTTTCAATTTCTTAGTTTATAAATGATAGCCTTAATTTTATTACTTTTAGTTTTCTCATAATGATGATATGGCATTGTAGATTAACCACCTCCCCCCCCCCCTCCCCCCCAAATAAGACATTATCAATTTGGAAAAGCTACGTTTGATCGTCTCTGCATTATGATTTTATATTCTTGATTAACCCTCAATAATTTAAATGAGGGAAGCAGTTTTTCTTAGAGTTTCTTGGAGATACATATTCAAAAAATTAACAAGCATTCTGAGAGTATTGCATTAGCAATACTAGTTCCCTATCGACAAGTGTAATCTGGTTCCTGTTAAAAATTGAAAATGCCATAATTCCGTCAAAAATTAATGAAGCGGAACGAAATGCAAAGTTAACTCGTTCATCAATATAAGGTCACAAACAAAAAAATCAGCTCAATATTTGCAAGCGTTTAGAAAAAAATGCTGAAAACCCTTAAAAATTGATAAGGTCGTAATTCCGTCAAATTTCATTGAAGCAAAAGGAAATGCATACTTGATCTGTAACTTATCAAGAAACACATACCAAAAATTAGCTCAATAACTGCAAGCGTTAAGAAAAAAAAACTCGGAAAACCAAGTGGGGCAGACAGACGGAGGGACAGACAGACGCAAAGGAAACCTATAACCGCCCCCCCCCCCCCCGTTTCACTGGTTGGGGAGTTATAAAAACCTTCCTCTGATTTGATATAATTCAAGTACGTTAAGTGTAGTGAAAGAGAGATTCGAATTGGCAGTGTAAATTGAATAAACATGATTAAAATGCTAGGATAGAATAGAAATGACTGAAGGCAATAAAATGTCAGATTGTGAAACTAAAAAAAAAAAAAAAGAGAAGAAGGTTTTAATCAAGCTAATATAATAAATACAAAGAATTCATTTTTGGTCAACTGGAGACAGTTATCAAATCTCTGTGATTATATTTTTCTCTCTCCGAAAAATTCTAGTGCACATTTTGATTTATTTGAATTATTCAAGTGTTCCTGAATCGAAAATGTTCATCATCTGTTTAAATGCGAAAGGAATTTTTTTAAATTAAGCATTTGTAGATGGATGTATTTAATTTTGAGCATGATAACAAAATAATACCGTAAAATGAAACAAAGATTTCATAAGAATTTTCTTTGCATTTCGTTTTACATAAAAGATATTAAGTTTGATCGAAAGTGAAACGACTTTTGACAGAAAATCATTTAAGTCAAGAGGATATGTGTTTATACTGCTCTTGACAAAGGACACAGACCATTACTGAAAACTGCAATTATAAGTGATATCAACTCCGTAGAGTCAATATCGATGATAACATGTACTCTCGCCTATATGATCAGAATAGGCCATTTGCCTGCATCGTGAACAAAAAGCTCTTTACACTGCATAGGCAATGTCTCTGTTTCGACAATGTGCAGATTTTTTCTAGTTTTCTCATTTTTTCATAATTATTTTATGATGTGCACAATGTATTTATATTAATGATATGAATAATTTGGCGATGGACTGCCTTTTTGGACGCATTTACATCCAGTAATTGATCATTAATCAAGCACCCCGCTTTTTTAAATTCAATAATGATGCAAAGTCCAATTATATCTTTTTATGAGTAAAAATTTAGTTATATGATTTTTTAGGTACATTCCTCCAGAAATGGAAATCAAAAATTGTACAAATATAGAAGAAAAGGCTCTCCAAATGTTACAAAGTGAGGTTAGTATGATGAATATCATAAGTGGAGAGCGGAAAGAGAGCGGAAAAATCTGTTTAGTAAATATTTACACAAGTAGAGATTAAGAAAATGTTCATGATACCGCAAAAGTAATATCGTATTGGGAAAATCATGGCATTCAAAATTGACAATAAAAACACAGTTTTATAATTTTTGTATTTACAATTACATTTGTATTCACGAACATGTACACGTCAGGGTAGCTCATTTGGTAGAGCGCTCACTCCGTGATCAAAAGGTCGTGTGTTCGAACGGCCCAGTGTCACAGTAGGCGTTGGCACGATCAGGAACCCTTACTACTCAATGGCCCTGAGTGCCGAGTAAAGATCTAAATTTGAAGCCCTTCACCGGTATTTGTTGACGTTTCTATATGAGTGAAAAGTTCTCGAACGGGACGTGAATATACATTTAATCAATCAATCAATATATTCACGAATAATTTCACAATTTTCATATTCATTGTAAATATATCTGCTTTCCTTCTGTTTAAATGAGCCAGTGGCCATGAATTACATCATACTGAAAGCGGTATCCTTGCTCGTTATGACCATGCACTTTATCTCCTGAATATACAGGCAAAGAAAACATTTTTAAAGAATTAATGCACCTACACTATAGGATCAAAGCAGCTCCGCCCTATCACGAGAACCCGAGGCCCACGGGTCTTGCTCATCATAAATATACACTTTGTTTGCGTAATATACAGGAGGAGAA